CACACCCACACCCACACCCACACCCACACCCACACCCCACCCACACCTACACTCCACCAACACCCACACTCCACCAACACCCACACACCCACACCCACACCCACACCCACACCCACCCACACCCTACCCACACCCACACCCACACCCTATTTTTACTCGCCTTAAAACAATAAAATTGTTTTCAGTTCGTTACAAAGAAGCTCGAACTATACTCGAGTCTGCAAAGAGAAACATCTGCTGGCTTGTTATCGAATGGCATCGCTTTATTAATTTAACGACAATAGCAGACGATGAAGATCGACAACATGTGTATAGACTCATCTTCGACGGCCAACAGATGGAATCTTTGAAAATATGCCATCTTCCAAATCTTCATCGAAATGATCTAGTATGTTAATATTTTTACAGATTCCTTTGAATTATTTCTATGAGCACGTAAACTTGTATTCTAGACAATAGAATATTTTTGCATCAATAGAATAAATACTTGAGAACATTCAATGTTAAATTTTAGCACAAACTGATTTTTTTCAAATAAAAATTCGAGTTAATCTCGACTTTTATTTCCTTGTTTCGGTGTATTTTTATATAATATTATGAAAGATAGATGAAAAAAAAAACATCATTCGCAAATATTCAAAAAATTTCAACTTAATAGTGATCCTTCTTTTTTTTTCTAGGTTGCATGTTCGACTCAACGATCGTTTATAAAGGAACTGAAGATTAACATGTGTTTCCTACAAGAACTTTATAATCTTCTTCATTTGACATCTCAATTGACTCATCTGAATATTTCTATTCACAACAATTCACAGATAGATTTCAGGTTTCCATCCATGAATGTACCTAGTTTACTTACTTGGCATCTCAGTGTCGGCGAAGATGCACAATTTGGTGTAGTAGACACACTTCTTCGCAATATTCAACCTGAAAAACAACTCCATTTCACTTATGAAGGCAAAAACTTTGATTATCTCTTAGCGAACAAATGGGAACATATTCTCTTACATGGGCATTACCAACTCTATCTTCATATCTCTGTAACTATTGGGTATGTGCCTTGGAACATCGCGACTTATGAAATTAGCGAACGATTTCAAACAGATTGGTGGAAACAAAATCAAAGGAATCTCATTTATAATGTATACAAGACAGCGAATAAGTTGAAAATTGACACAGTCTTGACTTGAATATGTTAATAGTCATTTTAATTCAAAACAAAAACTTTGACATATCAAATCTAGTTTTAATCGTTCGAATATAATCAATAACTCCATTATAAATATAAATAGTAAACGTTTATCTTCATCAATATCATCGAATAATATTGAAATTCAGACATTGTCAAGTTTCATGTGTTTAAAAAACATCCAATTCACTGTAATGTTTTACATATGAACGAATAAGTTTTAAGTGAAAACTTTGAAACAGATTCTCATACATATGTGTACAGATTTCTTTCTACAAAAAGCTTGAATTGTCACATAGCTAGTTCTCTGATCTAATGTCGTCTTATACTAATAGGTTACAGGCTTTTTCAATTATATCAGTGCATTGGAAGTTTTTTATATTAGCAGAAACTTAAATTAAATCTAGTCTATCGGAAAGATTTGCTATCGCAGTCTCGTTCGAGCTAGAAATGTGGAACTCATAAGTTAAGAATTATTTTTATAGGTATGAGTTTACAGCCTATAGAGCAACTATTTATGGTGTCATATCTATCTGTAATGTGGAGTAGTAAACAAGCCGGAAAATCTTACCGTTACACTGGTGTGGGTGGGCGTGAGTTGTGGTTTTTGGCAATGGTTTCACATCTAAACTCACATTCACACCCTCAGAAGTGGCTTTTTCAGAATAAAATTCTTTTTAATTCACAATGAAGCATCATTCTTTCAGAAAAGGGTCAGCGAATCCGTATTATGAGCGCTACTTGTTAGCTATCAAATTTATTTGTTTATTGAAATAGATGATATAAGTCAGACAAAAAAAGTATACATTCAAACGAAAAGTTATCAAAGTTATTTTTTAAGTTTCATTTGATAGAAATTAATAAGAAAGAAAACTGTTACGTATGTCAATAGCTTTTCTAAACATTATCAATGCTTTCAAATAATTTTTAGAAAATAGATAAAGCATTGCAATATTATCGAATAATATAGATAAATGTTGAGGGAAACGATCCCATGATGGTGGTTGATTTGTATAGAGATCTTTCGCCTGTAAAAACTGTTCTAAAGCTTCCTCAAAAGGACCTTGTACTACACAATGTAAACCAATTTTATATAATAAATCAGCACGTTTAATAGGTTCATGTTCATTGTTCAATCGGGATCGACAATCGTCTAGTATAGTTTGATCACCCCACGTTGATAATGATATATAGTATTTATCCGGATCAATTTTCTTTAATTTTCTTTCATAAATATCAGCGTCAGTATAATTGCCTTGTGTTTTTAATATATCGATGATTTCTTGATAAATATATTGTAACGAAGGAATATATCGGTTATTTGCAATTTCCAATGCTTTTTGATAATATGATAATGAAGTATTGCCATTGTTTCTTTTCCTCTCTATATCAGCAATATATCTATAAAGTTCATTTGTTAATAAATTTTCTTCATCTAATAATGATAATACAATAGTATAATGCTCATCAGCTTCATCATATTGGGATAAATGATAATAAAGATAACCAATAATAATATGAATAACTATGAATTCAGGACCCTTTGTAGAGATATCCATTAGTGAGAGACCTTGTTCATATATTTGAATAGCTCTGTCATATAAACCTAAATTACTGAGAAGAAAAGCAAAATGAATAGAGATCATAATGGTAGGATCATTGTTTGATGAAAATTGTTTTTTTGTTAATATATAATAGTATTGTTCGATCATATTAAAATCATCTGTTTTCATGATCAAATGGTGTTTCTCTTTGATCTTCTGAATCCATGGATCGATGATCGTATTAATAAACGCTTGGATGGTATTATTAGAATAATCTGTGTTCGTAGTTGAAAGAAACCATTCTGCTATCTTCTGAAATTCTGGTGCGAAAATAGAAACTAATTTTCTAAAGTGGATATATGGATCATTATTGAGAGTAAGTTCAATAATACATGGTGAATCAGTTGTATTTTGAATAGAATCAATAGAAAAACCAGTTCCGACAAAAAATAAAACTTCTTCTTCTTCCGATGATATTCCAATAGATTTTGAAATATCAATAAATGGCATAAATGAGTTATCGTTTCGATTTGGAATATTAATTTTAAAAATAACTGCATCTTCAGCATCAAGAATAAATGAACGAGCAATTTTTTCGTTACATGATGTTGATAGAATTGTATTTATCGAAACCAAACTTCCAATATTTAACTTTAATTTTTCAAGTTCATTTTTATTCATAATTTGTCCTCGATAAACAGTTGAAAAATTTTTGTCTTGTGATTTTGATAAACGTTCAAAGTTTTTATATAAAAGAATAATAAAATATCGAAATTTACACATAAGGTCAATATTTCCTGTTCGGCATGCTTTATTTAAACTTCGATATAAGAATGAATCTTTTGTATACCATTCTAGTGCATTTTCATCTGAGCAGGTTTCACCGAAAGATTCTATATGACCTAGTTGGGTTTTATTATCGTTATAATCTAACTGACATTGTTTTAACATATCAGTTTTTAATTCCTCCATATTTGCATTAATAGGATGAACTAAATAATAAATAAAATGTTGATTCCATAAAAACATTAATGTATTTCCATTTAATTTGGTAAAAGATTGTTCATTTTTTATTTCACTTAAAGGAAATATACTTATTGGTAAATCTCTATGTATTAATAAGATATCTTTATGTAATCGATTGATTAATGTATTGATATCTTCAAATATTCCAACTACTTTTGGATGATTTTTTCGATTATATTCGAGATTTTGATATTTTTCTTTTAAAACATAAATTGATTGAATTTGACGTAAATTTTCAAAATCTGTTTCAGGTATAAAACCTTTTAATATAATAAGAAATTTATGTTCGCTTTCAACTTCCTTTATATCATTTCCACAATTTTCACATGTATCATATTTCTCTAAATGCTCATCAAAATTTTCTAAATCATTTGGTACATCATTGGAACCAATCCATACTACTCTAAAATCATAACGATTTTGGATTTCGTTTAATTTTGTTGATGATAAATGAAATCTACTCATCTTGATTTATCAGATTTCTGGTTCTTGTAAATAAATTTTTAAGAATTGAAATATTTTTATGTGTAATCTAAAAGTATCATTTAGAGTGAGAATATTTAAGAAAAAAAACGTTAGAATAACAAGTAATTTTGTTATTAGTTACACATTCCTCATCGTGATGAATACCAACAAAATTTTTTAAATAACATATAACCAACAGCAAAAGAATCGGCATCATGTTATTAACCATGAGGGTTTTGTTTGTTTGTTTCTCTGTCGAATTAGTTAAAAGAGATAGAAAAAAATAATAATCACTCACTCACAAAGTTATTTAGAAATGACTTTTGTCATTTTGTTAAATCATAAGATAACTATTGTCTGTCCAATATTAAAATGGCCCTGAGTATCTTTGTAATAACTCAAGAACGGTAAGAGATAGAAAACTGCGATTTTCACCAATCGAAATATGAGATAGCGGGTGTCTCTTACTCCAATGTTGTAAAAGACGAAATTGTTTTCGAATCAATCATTTTTGCAAACCATTGAAAAAAAGCATAAAAACAGCCTGTCATTTTGGTGAAATTCTGATTTTGACAAGTGATTTGGATAGAGGATCTTCACATTTGTAGATCAAGCTATGATTCTAATAATTCTCCTTAACGCTTCAATGTGAAGCAAATCGGTAAATGGTAGATGATTTTGATATATTTTTTTATATTTCGGAAAAATGACTGGTTTCAAAATAATTTTTGTCCTTTACAATATTGGAGTAAAAGACGCTCCGGCATTTTCTCTTTCGACTGGTGGAAACTGCAAGGGTGTGGGTGTGGGTGGGGTGTGGGTGTGGATATGGGTGTGGGTGTGGGTGTGTATTTTCTTCGCACGCGCATCCACACCCATTGAATATGTAGTGCAAAGTTGATTTTTGTGAAACGCGATCTAAAAGGAGTGTTGAAGTGTATAGGGTAAATATATCGAGTGTGGATGAATATTACTCTTGTGCAAATCAACACTAACGCGCATAGACATGCACATCCCATGATATGATCATTCAAGGTATGTTGGTGTATAGGGATGTACCCAGAGTCTCGATCAGTCGCAATCCTAATCTTTTTCCACTTTCGGTTAGGTTACATTCACTCAGAGACACACCAAGGCGAATATTTTTCTATAGAAAGTACTTACAACATGGTCTAAAGTCTAGTCTCGCTCGAGATCTCTGTACACCACTGTTGGTGTGCAAAGCTGCGCAACCTGATCGTGATGGAGATACAATTTTCTTAAATATAAAATTTCATACAGGCCCTTGTACACAATGAATGAAGCAACCAAATAAAATAAATAGGTACGTTCAGTCAAGCCAATGTTCACATATTCGCGCCGACCGTTTGAAATCCACTACTGTCGGATATCGATATTATTGAATGTTGAATGGAACGACCGAGGCCGAAAAACTCGGAGAAATTTCTAAGTATGAAGGAAGAAACTGGTGGTTGTGCTTTCTTCTTCAGTCTTACAATCATACTTTCATATCTCAGTCAGACTCTTCTTAGTTTTCTATGTAGTTGCATGACACGAGCTTTTTCTATTTGTAGAATCAGAGTGTGAGTGTGAGTTCGGCTCAAGAATATTCTCATAGTTTTTATTCAATGATTCATGTCGCAGATAAAGTTGAAAATGAAAGGCAGCAACGTCTTCAAAAACGATTTGAGATAACGCAGTAGTCTGTATGCAAAAAGATATGATGTCACATCAAAACGTGTTATCAATTTTTCATCTCACAGTGTGAATAGATAGTTAGAAAGAAAGAAATAATGTAAGTATTTGCTTATCAAGTTTTCACACATAATAGGGAGAAACAGGAGAAACGTGATAGTGATACATAATACATAGAAGAACGAAGAAGTGTATGAAGGCTGTTTCTTCATCTATATATTATTTGTTTACTTCAAAATTCATCTAACAAATGACAAGGTGAGCATGCAACTTGATCTTCATACAAAAGAGTTTTCGAATTATCCGAAATATATCTCGAATTTCTGGGAGCAATCGATTTTATACGCCAAGCTTGGTTGAGTCTTCTATTGTTGACTTATTTGACTATTTTCGCAGTGTAGGATTGAAAAAAGATGGCGTAGGATATCTGAGAGTGTAGATGCATGTGGATTGAGGAAGCGAAGAATGATATTAACCACATTCAAATTCATCCCCAAACATTTTAGCAAGAGCTTAGATTTTGAAAAACTTCTATTGAAAACATATGGATTTATATTTTAGATAAAGTCAATTCAAGGCTTCTATCAAGCAGCCTGTAGCAATGAATTTCAATGCTTCAAAATTATGTAGAATATGTCTTGATAATGATAACCCAACAGATATTATTAGTCCGTGTCTACGCAAAGATGGATCCACATATGTTCATAGGAAATGTTTAGACAATTGGCGATCACTAAATAGAAGCGGTAGAACTTTTAAATCTTGTGATGTTTGCTGTTTTGAATATGTTATTGAATCGGTGGTAGATGATCCATCAGCTGATAGAGAAAGATTACGAACGTTTCGTTTATTACTGACTCGTGATATAATATTAGTTATTTTATTAATTCAGTTGATAATTCTTACAATGGCATTTTTATTAAAATTCGAAGATCAAGAAATTCATTGTATTAAAAGTTTATTTCTATACTCTCTGAGTGAATTTAGTATTTACTACTTGAGTGGTTTCATATTATTCCTGGCTATATTAGGCTTTCTTGATTTAATTAAGCTTTGCTATGAATACATTAAAGATAATAGTGCTGAATCTGTTAGCCATAGTGATCATAGTTCTAGTTTTGTTCCCATACGCATGGGGTCTAGTAAACCCCAGACATGCAATAGTGGTGGTAGAAGTTGTAGCAGTGGTACAAACGCGAATAGTAAAGGAGATTGTTCTACAATTGTCATAATCATTGTATTCATATTCACTGTAATTGGAATAATTGTTGAGATAATCCTTGGGTGTGGGTGTGGATGGGTGTTGGTGTGGACGTGGGTGTCGATGTGAATGAAGAAAGGAACGACACGCACACCGACACCCATAATCGAAACGAAATTATCATCAATAATGATTATTATGAGAAATGTAACTAAATACTACAAAAATCTCTATATCTATAATCATTTTTTAAATCTATTTAATCAAAGCTTAAAAAATCATTGAATGTAACTTTTAGTCTTATTGCAGAATAATAATTCCTACTTACTTTATATTTTTAAACATCTAAAGAATATAAATAAATTAACTTAATTTGTTTTTATTCTTTGTTTTAGTAATTAATATACAGGTAGACGATGAACTACTTTTCCAAGCATATCATCATCCTAGCTTTCATTTAACATAATAAAATGCATTTTGTTACGAATTGCTAACTATTGATTTTTTAGTTCTTAACTGATTGATATAATAATGTTTTAAATCTTCTATTGATCACTCTATGAATTAGATTTTGAAACATAATCTTATGAAATAAAAATAGTAATGATTCATCTTTTTTTATGCATAGGGCGTGGGTGTAGGTGGGTGTGGGTGTGGATGGGTGTGGGTGTGGGTGTGGATTTGGATAAATTGAAGATTAATACCCACGCACACAGCCACACCCACACCCACCCACACCCACATCCACACCCCCACCCACACCTACCCACACCCGCACCCACACCCACCCACACCCCCACCCACACCTACCCACACCCACACCCACCCACATCCACACCCCACACCCACCCACACCCTCTGTGAAACTGCTCTATTGCCCCCTTTATCATAAATTGCTAGTAACATGTGTGAAAAACAGAACAGAAAGAAAAACAGTAGTTATTCTTCCATAAAATGTGTAAGAATATTAGTGGTTTTTCCCTGTTTTTTTAAGTTTTAGACGCAGAAAACTTCTTCAAAATTTCGCTTAGAGCCCTGAAAAATTGTTTTCTGTAGGTTTGACGACGTACTCGTTTATTTGGACAGGTTAAAAAAATTTTTAGTAAAAATTGTGTTTTGGTTGAAAAACCAACATCTTTAAGAAACGGGTCTTTAAATCGAAAGCGGGCAAAAACCATTGTGATATTCGGAATCAGCACGTTCGATTACCTATTGCCAGATGAGTTTCAGCTCAAAAGCGAGGGAGCAGTTGGTGGCCTTCCCTCGTAAGAGCGATATTATCAAACCGATCGATCACTTGACAATATTCAGTTTCTATATTCGTTAGTTCGTTCAACTGATCTCTTTACTATATCAATCAACACTATGAAGACTTCTCAATGGAAATTTACGTGATGTTCCATAAGATGTTCAGTAGTCAACTAAAAAGTTTTCTTTTAGTTTTTTTTCTCTTAGTAATTGTACGAGTTCTTTGTCCACATCTATGTGAATAACGTTGTACAAGAACAACACATTTCTTTGTCGTTCTTCTCTTTTACCATGACAATACCAGCTCAACTGTGATGTTGGTGCACGAAAGGAAGAAACGAATTCTTTTTTTTCTCTGGTTGTTAAGAGAAAAGGCAGCAAACGAGTCCAACATCAGTTTCTTTCTCATTTGTTTACCTATCTGCAACAAGTATCGAGTCGCAATGAGCAAAGAACACGGCACTTTAAAAGTAACTATTGTCGAAGGTCGTAATTTGAAAGATGAAGACATCGTTGGCAAGAACGATGCCTATGTTGAAGTTTACTTGGACAAAGACTACAAACAACGAACGAAAACCATTCGAAATTCAAATAACCCAAAATGGGATGAAAAATTTACTTTGTAAGTTCAGACATCACACTATGAGTTTCAATTAATTGATTTTTTTATTTTATCTCAGTAATTTGAAAAGAGATCATGATGATTTACATCTGCATGTATACGACGATGATACAGTAGGTAAAGATTCCATTGGTTCGGCGAAGATTGATTTGAGAAAACATGACTTCACGAAAGGTGCTTATGATGAATGGGTTAAGCTACCAGCCCTGTTAGGTCTCCGTTCCAAAGGTGAAATCCATGTTATCATTGACCATCATGTAAATAATCTCTTTAATTTCCTCTCTTTTTAAAGTTTAATCATAATGTTTGTTTTGTATTTTAGACGTGAAACACAATTCTCAAAGGGACTCTTTAACTTTATCATTTATAATCTTCTTTTTAAACCAGCATGACTACGATTCCGTGATTAGATTTCAAAGTATCAAAACGTAAAACTTCTAGTTTTTTAGAAATAAATTAACTCATAACTATATATCGCTTTTGATATAAAAAATAAAATGAATGATTTACTACAGTTTTTAAATATCCAATGTTTCGATTTCTCTTTGTGAATGACGTTTATTAGTGTCTGTGGACAGCTAATGTTGCTTGCTTCAACAGCAAATGACCCATGAGCTCAGGCGTATTTTTACTTTAGAAAAAGTATCCAGATGAAAAACGTTGTACCAAAGATAGGACTCTGGAATGAAAAACTTTTTCGTCATGTTAGCCTCAATAATGTTGCGAACATTGACGCTAACCTTCTAGGCTGACGGAATGTCCCTACGCGCTACCTTCTTGAGGGTGAGGGGGAGACCGGCTGCCATGAATGTTTCAATCCAGCAACGGATCTCATCAGATGGCTTTATTCCCTTTTCTGAAAGAAAGGGTTATACGCAGCTTAAAGTTTTGTCTGTCTGTCTGTCTGTTTGTCTAAGCCAATAAGATGAGAGCTCAAAGGTCAGAAAAACAAAAAGTCGAAATGATGACCTAATGCGTGGCCTGTAACTAACACACATCGCGCTTACGATTCTAATTGGTACGAACAAAGCCAATCAGGTTATTTGAATGACGGGGGGGAGGCAGTGATTTCGACCAATCAGATGTGAGAAGGGAGGTGTGACAACACAGTGTATCGTCACCTATATTATCTTTCTCTCGTCGTGTTTTCTCTCTCTTGATTGATCATGTTCGTGCTCATTCTTCGGATTTGCTTGATTATGTTTTGGCGCTTGAGTAGTTGTTTTTAGTGTGTGAGTCGGGTGTGGGTGTGGGTGTGGGTGTGGGTGCGGGTATGGGTGTGTTTTTGGATAAATTGAAGATTAATACCCACGCACACGGCCACACCCACCCACACCCACACCCACACCCATCACATTCCTTAATTCAGTTTTTTTTATTTCGTCTAGTCTGTTTGGGGTCTTAATGAACAATGAATACATTTGTGGCTAATGGAATGATTTTTTTTTTCGTTGTTTGTTCAACGTATACGATTTAATATGTGGATAAACATTTATAGTCGACGGTCAAATTAGAACGAATCATCAAATCCATGTCAAATGATAAACACCACCTCAATGCACTAGGTAGCACCATATGTCATGCCACTTTTCCTAGCATTCTCCTTAATACTGAACGTTGTTGGATGAGAAATATATCTTTTCATGAAGTTAGATTTTTCGGCCTCAATCTCAATCTCGTTTCCGAGAAAATGATATTTAATGAGACCAATACTGAGTAATGACAGTTGTCGATCAATAGCAACCACCCATTGACCACCTGTGTTTAGATTGGTCGTAGTATTTCGATAGTTTTATGTTTCAGTCACTTTTCTGAGAAAAACTAAAAGTACAGTTTGATAGAGAAAAATTTTCTGTATTCGACTAGTATCAATTGTATATCTGGCCTGTTAATTTTTTATTCAAAGTGCATTTGATATTGATTGGCTTAACTTGCTATGCTTTAGCTGCCCTGACCGCGTACTATTAGAAAATGTTTTTATTTTTTATATTAAATGTATAATATATAGTGGTAGATAACTATGATTTTATTCACGTTTGCAAGAATTTATATTTTGAAATTGAAATTTTAATTTTAATTTTAAATTTCAATTAAATACTTTAAGAGATAAAATTTAATATTTAGTGATATTGACTTTATATTCTGAATTCGAATGAAGTATTTGTAAACAATTAGAAAAAGAAAGTGATACAAATAATTTCTAATCATCGTCAAAATGAAGCTACATTCTCATTATCATCCGTTGCTTTTTCTGACAGAGTCATGTGAAAAAAACAACGTTTTTGTATGTTTACATTTACAGTTATTAATACTTATTATTACAGAAGTATGGTATTCAATTATAGCAATCGCTTTTCATATATTTGTACTGAAAGAAAACTTTACACTACTATTGTGAATCAATCGTTTTCGTTATTTGTATAGATATTACTGGACTCGATGAATCTTCTATTATTGATAATGATAATGTTTTTTTCCTTCCTCATTCATAAATAAGTCACATTTGTTTAATAAACAGGCCCCGCAGCGGTCCTGATTTCCTGATTTTTCGAATTTGTCCTGATTCATCCTGATTTTGGTACAAGATCCTGATTTTCCTGATTTTTGGTGCTTTTCGAAACTAAGTAATTTCTCTAGAAAATTTCGGTTTAGTCTCAGTGGAGGCGTTTCAGAAATTCTGTCTTGAACTAATGAGGATACTGTTTTTTTTTCAATGATCGCGTTGTTCATCTTGTTTGAAGAATAGATAAAGTTCTTTATGAATTGTAAAATGTCGGTGAATATATGTAAGAATTCAACTTCTTATTACAAAATCCCTACAAAATCTTGTGTCATTATTCAGTAAGAAAAAAAAGAATAAACAGACACAAATTAGTTAGTAGATTTGGAAGTCAAGAGTCCGATGAATCATCAACTCTCTTTGTTGGATTGCTGTCAACGAATCTCACAACGAAGCTTCTCAAGGTGTCTCCTTGCTTTTGACCTGATATTTTGGCTATATTTTGGGCCTCCGAACTGGACTAGAATAGAATAATTTTAAGTTGGCTCGCTTGCCTGATCATTTGGGGTTAATTTATTATGGATTCTGAACTTATGACACCAAGTTATCTGCAACAGCACATATTCGGATTTCGACCTGAAATTTTGTCTACAAATAAATATAATGACCACTAAGATACCTTAAAAGTTTCAGACAAAACCAATGTATCATTGAGATATTTTGTTTTCAAAAAACCGTCTATTTCTCAGAAAAAATTCAGAAAAATCGGAATATTTGGACATTCAACATGTTAAGAAGGATGCCATCATTTTATTTCAAACTTTTAAGATATCTCGGTGGCCATTATATTGATTTATAAACAAAATTTCAGATCAAAATTCGCATATTTGCTGTTGAAAATAACTTGGCGTCACAGGTCCAAAATTCAATAAAGGGGTCATAACTGAGTCCTAAAGACCCAGACAAGGGAGCCTACTTAGAACTATTCTAGTCTAGTCCAGAGGATACCGTTAGAACATAATGACAATGTCCCAACAATGTCCGCTTGAAATTAACAATTTTTGCTGATACTCGACCTTCCAGGATGAAATGTGTTGACTTTACCATTGCCTATCGACCAGTTGGAAATCATCACAATGTTTTAGCGTTTTTGCTTTATCATTTCGCGCTTTATTTAATTGTTTCACTAAGAGTTGAGCTAACTGTGTTACGCGATTGTTATGTTTTCGAAACACTGAGGCAATGGGAGGACGGTTTCCTCTTAATGGTGTGGGTGCGTGTGGGTGTGGGGTGTAGGTGTGGGTGTGTGGATGTGGGTGTCGGTGTGGGTGTGGATGAGGGCGTGGGTTTGTGTATTGTCTTCAACTACACGCACACCCACATCCCACATCCCACACCCACATCCCACATCCCACACTTACACCGCCACACCCACACCGCCACACCCACACCCCCACCCACACCCACACCCACCCACACCCACACCCACACACCCACACCCACCCACACCCACATCCACACCCATACCCACACCCACACCCACACCCCACACCCACACCCACACCCTAAGTAGAGCTTGATCATAACTGTATATGACACTCAAAATATGTCTTTTAGTTCCTTTCTTTTCATACAA